CCCCAAAACCCCAAAACCCCATAGAGATAGTTATCCCTTTAATTGAATCATTTCAAAATCGTAAATTAAACTTTATAAATCAATAAAATGGGTTGTGGAAATTCGAAAAGTGCTGAAACTTAAGAGAACAAAGGTCCACCCAAAGATCGAAATTCAGAAGAATAGGAAGATTAGTAAGAAGAAGAAGAAAATCAAGAAGAGTAGCCAACTGCTCGAGTGGTCAGTAAATAAGAGTAAGGTTTAGTGGACTAACTTGATGCTATATAGAAAGCAGAAGGAAATTAGGTAAATCGCAAGATCTGCTCCTAGAGATTAAATGACTGGTAAAGTAGATAAATCTAAGTTTCCCTTTTGGCATTAAGTAATAGAATACTTAAAACTTGAAGAAATCACAAAGATGGCTGCTGTCTCAAAACATATGACTGAGTAGGTTGCTGAAAGTCATAATGAAGACTAAGATAAAAGGGATGAGCCAGATATGGCTAAAACTATCAATACCAAAAGACTGCCTCAGTAACTTTTTGAAGATGATAACGGAAATCATCAGACTTTAGATGAGGATCTTGAAGATGACTTTGAGGAAATGGAGGAAGAAGAGGATGAAGATGAAGATCTCGCTCGATAAACCAATAAATTTTCTCATAAGTCATAATCCAAACAGCAGATTGACAAAAGTTAGATCAGCTAAGAGAATACATTAAAAGAAACGGCTGATGATATAGCTTTAGGCAATACTTTCAATACACTTACTGATTTTCCAAAGACAGTAAAGCAGCCCACAATAGAGGAGAAACCTATTAATCCAAAAAGTATTGCAAGATAATAATCATTACAAAAAAATTTCACTTTGATCAAGGAGGAGGATGAATCATTAGAGCAATCATTTCATTCCATAAATAAAAGAAGACCAGCCACTAAAGATCCAAACGAAGTGAATCTTAAGATTGAAATGATAAGTACTGAAATATAACTATAGAAGAGTAGTGATATTCCAATTGAATAATACATAAAATAATAAGAGAAGGAGAAGCACTCAGATAAGGAAAGAGTTAAAGATGAATTGAATAAGACTATGGTATTTAGAAAACAGCAAACACAGTAAGAGGAGTAAAGTAACAATTAAAAACTGTTGGCTGATAGGCCTCTGTAAAGATAAGGCACAACAAGTGTAGTATATAAGGTTGTAATTAACTCAGTCATAGATTCCTCGATGGATCAGCCCAAATTTTAAAAGATAGAGTCTTAAGAGTTTAAATTACCTCCTTAGCATTAGAATTTATCTAACTCATAAGAAGACCCTTATTTATTCAATAGTTAGGATGGTTCTTTAATGAGATTAAGTGGCTTGAAAGCACCTGCTGCTTAGTAGGAAGGCGAGATCAATGAAACTCCAAGATACTTATAGAAGAAGGAAAATTACTATGACAATCAAGAGAAGTTTCTACAGCCAAATATACAACAGAATCAATACGCTATATTGCATAGTAATATTTGTTCTTATCATATTTTAGCTTCAGATTATGACGGAAAAGTTCATAAGCAATTTGGAGTATACTAATTCGACAACGATATACCTATATTTGATAAGAGACCTTAAAGACTCATAGAAAGGCTAGCTATAAAGTAAGAGATAGAGGGCAGCCATTTCAGGAAAAGATCCATACCTGGTGGAGCAGGAATGCAAATAGTTTTTAACTCTAAGCCTCCTACATCCGAAAGTATGCCTAGGAATCATGATCCATTATTGCCAAAAAGACTACCTAAATTCGATGAAATATAGTAGTAGAAAGTTGAAGTATTCAACTAAGTTTAAAAAGAGATACCAAAACCTATACCAACTGATGATTTCAAGTGTAAGAAATCATACTTCATTTTATCTATAATCTTCTGATAGAAATCTTATGGGGGTATCTTTCATGCGCTGATATGCTTGAATTACAAAAGCTATTTAAGTAGTCAGAGGAAAGCAGGATTATAAGAAATTACAAGGATCTAGTATTTAACAAGCCACTTCCTTTCACTCAAACTAAAGAATAGAGAACTTTATCAACACTTTATATTGCAGTAGCAACTGGATCACTAGATAACTGTAGAATTATTATGGATGAACTTATCAACATCAATATTGAATAGGGTATTGAGATTAAAAAAAGAGCCAAAGATGAAAAAGAATACCATTAAATATAGAAAAATGAGTTAATGATTAAAAAAAGAACACCTTTATAACTAGCCTGCGCATTAGGACTATTTGAGATAGTTGACTTTTTACTATAAAAGGGCGCAAACCCAAATGGAACTTCTTAAGAATAATTCGAATAGCACTGTGATAACTATATTCCTCCTATAGTTCTCTGTATAAATAGTAAATTTAGAAAACTTATATGCTAGGATGAATTAATCGGAATAGAAATCTGGAAGGTATATGATTAGTATTAGAGTATCGATCACTTAAGATGCCTTGATATATTATTAAAGAACAAAGCAGATCCCAATCTTCATCTTTCTAGTTTTACTTAAAACAAGCCTTTTCCAATATTTCATGCACTCAAAGAAAGAGCACTTATTGAAAAACTGATCCAATTTGGATGCAATATCAATAACTAAAATAAAGATCATCTTACCCCGCTTTGCAAGCTATGTACAAAAGTACCCAAGAATAATACAGGCATTACGGAGGAGTACGAAAATGATTAGTTAGAAAAGGCATCGATTCTCCTTCACAAAGGAAAATCAAAAATTGTTTATTGCTGTAGAGCTAATCCAATAATAGAAGCAGTTAAAACTGAAAAATTTATTTTAGCAAAATATCTTGCAATTAATGGGGGCGATGTAAATTGGAGAGGACCAAATTAGCCCTCATTGGTTCAAATAGCAGTTGATCTGAACAATGAATATGTGCTTAAGGAGATTTTGAGTTGGTAAAAACTAGACCCTATAGATTTTTACTATTATGACTAGAATGGTAAAAACATTTTCCATCGCATAGCAGAATTATAAAATCCAGAACTATTTATTAAAATAGCTGAGTCTAATAAGTTCAACCCAGCCATGATATTCAAATATATTAATGAACCTGTAAAAGATCAAGGGATAGAGACTTTACCTCTTGTTAAGTGCTGTCCTTTGGTTGAACTAGCTGACCTCTATATAAAATTTGGTGCTTAAGTAGAGTTACTATCCTTCAGAACCTGCTATGACATGTTTGCAAAGGACAACATTAAATTCTTAGAATTCCTAGTTAAAAAAGGAGGTCTTAATATTGATGAAATTGATGCATTCGGAAGAACAGCTTTAATTTAAGCTTCAGAGGAGAATGATCTAAAGGCATTTAGCTTCTTACTTCGATTGGGAGCTGATCCTGATGTCAAATATCAGGATGACTTCAATCAAAGATAGGGTATGACACTTCTGCACGAATCATGCCTATTAGGATCGGTTGAAAAAGTTAGACTTTTACTATAGCATGGTTCAAATATAAATCTAAAATGTGCTAGAGGTAGGACTACATTAGACTTTCTCAAAACTAACCATGAGAAAAAAAGTAATAGAAGAAAGGAAGAAATAAAAGCTCTTCTTTATAAGTAAACAGTAAAAAATCAAATACTTAATAAGTAATGATAGAATTAATTGATCATAGTGTAACAAATAAGAGCAAAAAATATTGATTTATTCCTAATTTCATAAATTCTACAATTTAATGATAAATCCACTTGGGGTTTTGGGGTTTTGGGGTTTTGGGG